AGTCTCCCCTGCCGCTGGCTGTGGGAAGGGGTGGGGAGAGAGGAGACCTCAGAGCTGGTCCCATCTGCAAACATCTCCTATGCTGGGAGGTGGCTTCTGCCTCCTGCGATGTCCCAGCCCTCCCTGAGGGAAACAGGAGGATCTTGTCCCAAGGAGCAAGTCTGAGCTAGCTCAGAGTGCAAGCAGCAGCCCCAGGGCTTCACCAGCTCCAAGACTTTCTGTAGACCACCAAGGGGGTGCTGGATGCAGAACCCTGTGAATTACATGGGACTCTGTCCCCAGGCAAGAGGGGCTCTTGGGTCTTTTTTTGAGTGAGGAAGATGTAGTTTTTACCATCTTTCCCTTATCCCCCAGGCCTTCGCTGGGTTCTACTACACCTTCCACTTCCTGAACCTGACCAGCCAGCAGTCTCTAAATGACGTCAACTCCACGGTCCAGACCTTCTGTAAGAAGAACTGGGCAGAGGTGAGAGCCCTGTGAAGGGCAATGTGCTTGTCCCGTCCCAAATCTCTGCCCAGGAAGCAGATGCCCTGCTGTTCCCTGGGCCAGGGAGGGTTTCTGAGCATCTGTTTCGTTCCACATTGCACCATGTCCCTGGTGCCCCACAGCTGGTGGAGACCTTCCCACAGCAGAAGGGCTTCCTACACACGTACTGCTCCAAGGCGATTTACATCTTGACGCTGCTGCTCAATGGCTACAAGTTCAACGAGCACACATGGAGCAGCATCCACTTCAGCCGGCAGGTAAACACCCCGCGGGGCAGTGGGAGGGCAGCTGCGGCTGCATCCTGTCCCTGGCCCAAGGACACGTTCAGGAGCGACGTCCCTGGAATCCCCTGCACCAGAACTACGTCCCTGCCTCATGCCTGCCACACAGTGATCCCAGCACAGCTTCACTCTTCTCACCTGCCCCCAAAGCTCTGACACCAGCTTGTTCCTCACTTACTCTGGTGTGAATGTGAGCTAATTTTAAAGGGGTCAGAGAAGTGCAGAGCAGGATTTGGCCACTTTGGTCTCTGATGTTGGGCAGAATTGACTGGAGCATCAGAGAGGTGACGGTGGCCCCATGACCCATTTGAACCAGAATATGACCAAATTTGAAGGATCATGGGGCAGGATGAAAGCTTGGATCCAAAATCCTGTGCAGGTCACAGAGGCACATCTGGACCAGAGCAGTCATCTGTGTTCAGCTGCTCTTTAGTCTTTGGGAAGGGGGAGAGGAAAGCTCTCTTTGGAACTGGTGCTGGTGAGATCAGGTTCACCACAGCCAGGTCCAGGTGTGAAACCACAGCTGGGGCAGCTCATGGCAGAGGTGCCCCTCAGTCCCTTGCACCGAAGCTACCGGTGCCTGGGAGAGGGACTTTCGGATGATGTCCTCTGCTCTCTCACCTCAGGCAGCAAACACAGACATCGGATGGACGCTGGGCTTCATGCTGAACTTCACCAACATGATCCCCACAGAGGCTCTGGAACCCGTCAAGGGGCACCAGCCCAGTCTGTGGGCAGGTGCTGTCTCCTTCATTGTGCTGGCCATAGTGGCAGGTCTGGTGGCCATTTTCCTCCAGTGTTCCTGGAAAACCGAGTAGCTCCCAGCATCCTGCCCACTGAACCAGGCAGGGAAGTGATGCAAAAGAAGGTGGAAGGGGGAGAAGAATGCGGGCATTATACCCACCTCCATTACTCAGGAGGTCTAATTGGGTCATCTCTGTAAAGACATCAAAGATGACAAAGGTGTCTTGAGGTCTCCGAGTACCTCCAAGAGGAAAAGACTCCTGACTCCAGCAAAAAATTTAATCTGGCTGACAAAGCTGACTGAGACTTGGTGGCTAGATGAAGCCAGATAAATTCAAACTAGAAATAAAAACCTTTTTGTTTTTCAACTACCAAGGTCACTAACCAGCCCAGCGGTGTCTCCTTGGCACTTCTGGTCTTGCTGGGCTGCTCTCCCGCCAGCCGTGGGAAGCAACCGGTGATGGAGAGCAGTGGTGGCCACCTAAACTCTGAGGAGAGGGGTGACCTTATCTGTATCTTGCCCTGTGCAAGATGTGCAGGATTTTTGTAGTGTGTAACACAGTATCTTCCCAAAGACACTGTCAGCTGTCTTTAAAAATATTTACTGGCATATCTCAGCAGAAAAATACAAGTGGAAGTTGATTTAAGAGCTGCCAACTCTGGCTCAGGGTTTATTTTATATTCAAGTTACATAGCCCAGCTCTGTCAGACACCAAATCCAGAGCAGGTTCCAGCTCCAGGCACTTGAGTGTTTTACGTCCATCAGCAGAGCCCAGCACAGCTCAGCTGCAGGAACCCGACAGTCATTTCAGCCCTTCCAGCTCCAGCCGCCAGCCCTTTCCCCAGCCCCTCCAAGGCTCTGCTGGAGCCCAGGGCTGGCCTGAGCAGGGGGGGTCCACAGCTCCTCTGTGCTGCGAGACCCCTGCCCACGCAGCATCAGGCAGTAACATCCAGGCAGGACTTAAGGGATTAAGGAAAGAACCAAAGGCACCTGGGCTGAGGAATGGTCAGAGCCCCACGGCACTGGCAGACCCATGTGGTGTTTCCTGTGGAAGATGATAGGCGGTGGTCCTAACCCAAGGTGTTATCCCATATACCCCACTGCAAACTGGTCACAGAGCCCTTCCCAAAGAGCAGCATCTGTCTGGTGGAGATAAGGGGATGTGGCCCAAGGGCCTGGGGAACTGGGCTCTGCCCCTGCTCACCAATGGCTATCCTTGCCTTCGTTGTGAGGCTCAGCCTTCCCAGCCTGAACTTGAGCAACAAGGGAGAGGGGGTGAAGACCTCCATCCAGAGGAATCTCTTCCCACCCAGCAGCCTGAGCCCCTGAGGTCTGAGTGGCAACATGGACACTTCCCATAGCCGAACAGCAGATCCCTCCCCGTTCTCTCTGCCCTGCGCAGACACAGCTTCGGCAGAGTAAGCACAGAGGTAAAAATGCCATCTCTGGGAACAAGCTGCAGAAAATGCTGTCGGACTGCTGGAACTGACCCCATGGGATCTGCGGGTGGGGGACATCTCCTGTCCAGGTTCAGCAGAGGTCCTGGCGG